CTCTCTCTCTCTCTCTCTCTCTCTCTCTCTCTCTCTCTCTCTCTCTCTCTCTCTCTCTCTCTCTCCCCACCCCCGCACGCTTGCGCCTCTCGTTTGCCGATCGCGAGACGCTAAGTATGAAGCCGGCTTAACCGCACAGACACGCGGTGAGAGGACGAAGAGGGAGAGGGAGAGAAGGCAGGGAGATGGAGATAGGGTCCTGCTCCTTCTCCATTCGAGGAGCAGCAGACGAGCAGGGAGGGACCCTCTTCATGTGAGTGTCTGGACTGAGGAATGAGCGAGAGCTTACCGCTCGACAGTTTGGGAGGAAAATACGTATGGACGTCTCCCTCCTCCCGTTGTAGATTCCGACTTCAGCATCCACCGCAGCAACAGTGTAAAAGGCACGTGTCACCGCTCCAGCTCCCGCGTGCTCCACCCCGCGCTCCCACGTGCTCCCCCCTGCTGCCACGCGCGCGACGCGCGACACGCAACCTCCGCACTGCTGGGATTGACGTGGGATGGTAAAACTGAAGATGAAGATCCCCCGTTCTCTCTACCCTCGCCCCACAACAAACGCGGGTCTTGTACCCCTCTCTCTTCCACCGAATAGAACGCATTGGCGGAGGGTATAGGCCTCGCGTAAGCCATCATTCATAGATTACCTCTTCCCCCGAGCACAACGAACCCTCATTTTGGCTGTATCTGGCCGGAAATAGAACTCGTATACATTCATTTTTAGGGTGCGTTATGTTCGGGGGAAGACGGCAGGCAACGTGGTTCTAGCGCTCCATTACTTTTTCTTCTTTTTTTTTTCTTTTTTTTTTTTCGGAGAAATCAAATATCCATTCCTTTTGAGAGACAGGGGCCCGGGAACACACCCCACATAGCAACCCGGTACACAAAGACATGCTCGGGCCTCTACCCAGCTTTAGGCTCCTGGAAACCGGGTCCAGTGTCCCTCAACGAAAGAATCTCCAAAAAATTAGAAAAAAAGGTTAAGGTTGCGGCTAAGGTGGCCAATTGACTTCTGTTCACTAAAACTGGGAGACATTCCATTCTCCACCTCAACAGGCTTCTTCATTCTGGTTTTCCTCCCAAGGGGGGGAGCTACAGCGCTCCCCATGACCTGCTGTGGAGAGAAGCCAGGGCGAAAAGCACAACCTTCCTTCTGCAGTAAGCTTGACTAGTCTGCATTCTCTACCCCAGGTATCCGAAAACCATTTCCCAACTTTGAGCATACTCCCTCTATTGGACCTCCGAATCCAATCACTATGGATTGTGATCCTGATGTTATAGGTTATCAAATTCTCTTTTTTTTTTTTTTTTTTTTTTTTT